GGGTAACAGATTAAGGCAGGGAGTCGCTGCGTGCAGTGCGTGCGCGCGTGCGGACAGGCGGCTGTTAACCTTGCCGTGCGAAGCGGCTCTTGCCTTCGTGCGTCCTCCGAATTAGGGTGGCAGCCGAGATAAGGCCGGCTGGTTCGGGCACGCGAGCACAGCGGCTCGGTTTAAAGTCACGCGTGTGCCGCCCCTGACAGCCGGTCCGTGTGGCCCAGGGATGGGCCCCAGCAGGCAGCCGCGATGGCAGCGGCCAGTTTGTCAGGCCCACCCGGAAAGGCCGCAAGGGAGAGCCGCTCGGGAGCTTCTGTGGGCAAAGTAGGCTTGGAAGGGAGGAGGTTCAGCCAGGAAGGGGCAGTTTTCCAGCTCCACTCTAGGCAGCTCTCCAGGGGCACCCGGTTCTCAGTGTTGTGGAAAACTCAGGAGGAGCACAACACGGAGGAGAAACTGCCAGCTCTTTACTGAACCATTGTTGGGTACCTGCTTTACAAGAAAGAGGTTTGGGTCAACCCCAAACAACGGGAGGACAAAGGTTTTTAGAGAAAGTGGGGTTTCAGGGCAGAAAATCCTACACATCTGATCTGCTGGCAGGTCCCTGTCAGTGTAAATGGGTCGGTCCTGTTGTTAGGCTACAGCCACGCTCTGGAGCATCCCATTCCAGAAGCAGAAAGGAGGGGGGCTGCCACCCTGGGGAAGGGCTGATTCTCAGGGGGGGGCTGCCCTCTGCAGGGCAGCAGGCGTCCCAGGGGAACATGGCAAGAGACTGAGCCCAAGAGCATCACGGCTTCTCCTTTGCTGCTGTTCCTCTCAGGAGCAAAACCCCGGGACTGCTGTGCTGGAGGTGGCAATCTGGCCCTTTCCCACCCCCCAGATACAGACCTCTTCCTCCGCTGGGGGAACTGCTGCAGGGAGGATCATCCATCACTCTCCTGCTGACCCTACCCTATTTTAGAAAGGGATGGGGGGTGTCCTTCAGTTTGCTGGGACGCAACCTTTGCCCTGGTCCCTCCATTGTTCTGCAAAGCATCTGGAGAGCAACCGATTTCAGCAGCTGCAAAGGTCCCTGCAACATCAAAGTGGAACTAAAGCAGATTGGACAGGGTGAGACAGAATTGGCCCTCCCCACATAATGGGCAAGTGAGGGGGCTTTGGAAAGTAACCGTTTCTCCACCCCTGGACTCAGTCCTGTAACACAGTCCCAGTTTGTTCCTCCTGGCCAGAGGCTCAAAGGGCACAACTAGTGGGGTGCCTGTTGAATTACCAAATCCCCACGCAACCTCTCACCTCTGAGGGTGCTTTAAGGTCTCCATCACTGTCCCTGCTGTGGAGGTCAGTGGGAGTCATAGTTCTTGCATCCCCCATCCTGAATCCAGGCAAGAGGGGGTCAACCGCCCCAACAGGTGCCCTTTCAGAAGCTGGTGGCCTGCAGGTTCTCTCAGCCTGTGCTGCTCCAGCTGGGGGCAGGGAGGCACCCGAGCAGTTTCCCCAATCCCCCATCAGCCCCAGAAGGAGCACCTCTCTTCTCGGTGTGACTGGAGCTGCTTCTCATTCCTCTTCCCTCCCCATCGCCTCCTCATGCCAGACCGCAAGGACAGACACCTCTGTCTCCTGGAAGCCCCTGCAGTGACTATTTTGGGTGACGTACAGGGTAAAGGCATTTTGAGGAAGAATGACAGGCAAGGCACTCATCCAGTGGACTACTTGGCTGGGCACACAACATCCCTCATTTTCAATGGTGTTGATAATCAGTTGCTGTTTCTAGTTGCCAGTGCTTTATCAGTAGGATTTGAAGCTTCCTGAATGCTGTGGATGTAGGAGATCTGAAGCCCGGCCACCACTCCCAAAATGCTTGAGCGCTTTCCCCTTGCCCAGGGCTCTGCTGTCCACCAATACTTCTGCCTTGCATTATCCAGCTTTCATTTAAAAGCAGTGCTTCGTGCACCACTGTAAAGCAAAGACAACATACACTCAAATACAAAAGGCTGTATTTGAAAAACTCAAGTGAAAAAGTGCACACGGCTTCCTTCCACATTGGGACAGTAAAGCAATGTTCCCTGAAACTTACAACAGGGCACCCCAGAGCAACAGGCTCTGGGCCTTCCCCTGAGCAACCAACTCGGGTGGGGCTGCTGCCGGATGCTGGGCAAAAGAGGGCAGAAAGAGGCTCCACCTCCAGGAACTGAGCAGCTTTGCCTTCTTCAAACATCCTTGGTTTGGCGGCGGATCAGCTCTGCATAGATGCCGCCCTTCCGTAATAGCTCGGAATGTGTCCCGGCCTGGAAGAGCAGAAATGCAGGTCTTGGGAAGCGGGACTTAGTCAGTCCTTCCCGTACCCAGAAACAACTTCTAAAGGACTACCTGGACTCGCAGGTCCTTAATTCTACACAAGGCTTTGAAAGGAGAAGGGAAGGGGAGATATGGGCCCTTCCACCACTGACAGGGTTTATTTCCCAAGCTGTTCATGCACACCAGCTGGGCCTAACGCGGACCTGTTCCGGCTTGTTTTACACACACTGAAATTTCCAATGTTACAAACTGCCTTAGGTGTCCTTTTTAAGAGCCACCAGAGCAGCCTTTTATTTGAAGAGAGGGACACCAGTGGGAAAGTGCTCAGCCAGAACATACGGCCAGACTTAGCCTAAGGCTCAGACTATCAGCGGCTACTAGTCTTGACGCTAAACGTGACGTTCATGTTCAAAAGGCAGGAGACCCTAAGTGCCACCCGCTCCCACGGAGCAAGAGTGGATGCTCATCTGGAGAACTGCTCGTAGCTCTACAGCCATGAGGTTCTCCCAGATGTCTAACCTGAACCTGCTTCCTTGTAGTTTTAGCCGCTGGTCCTGGCCCTGCCTCTGTGACAACTGAGAATAATTCTACTTCCTCTTCTGTCAGATATTTGAAGGCCCCTACTGTATTTCTCTGGTAAGCTAAACATCCCCAGATCTTTAACCACTGCTCATAGGGCTGAGTTTCCAAACCCTTCACCATCTTAGTAGCCCTCCTCTGGATGTGCCCTGCTTTGTCAGTGTCCTTTTTTGAACTGTGGTGCCCTGAATGGAGACAATACCCCAAATGGGGTCTGGCCAAGGTAGAAGGGAGGGGGACAATGACTCTCTGCGATCTGGATTCTAACGTCTTGCAACTTGGCTAGGACAAAGAAAGCCACGGACATTCTGCACAGCCTCCCCGTCGGCTGTTTCTTATGCTCAGCAGCCTGGTGAGTCCTGTCTCTCTGCCAAAAAGGATAAGACAAACCAAGCAGGGATAGGGCTTGTGAGGTAAAATTATTTATAGAGTAATGTTTGGTCTGTGAATGTTTGAATCAAAACTAGCCAGCCAGCCAGCCGACTGGAGGGTCAGGGGGCCATGTATTCTGATCTATGAAAAGTCAACCCAAAAGATCAGAGTGCCATTTACAACTTTTTTCTCTCCTGCCAATGAATCACACCTTACCTGTTTAGAAATGAGCAAGCATTTCAGAACAGCGCTAGTCTCTCCTGGCCTTGACCACCATTCTATTTCCAGTATTGCCTGTTATAGAGTGTCCCCGAGCCCAGGCCTTACCTCAGCCACGCGGCCCTTGGACAGGACCACAATGAGCGCTGCCTCCTTCACTGTGCTGAGGCGATGGGCAATTACCAGCACGGTGCGGCCAGCCACGGCCCGATCCAAGGCCTCTTGGACCACGTGCTCTGATTCTGCATCTAGGGCACTTGTGGCCTCATCCAAGATCAGCACTTTGGGATTCTTAATCAGTGCCCGGGCGATGGCAACTCGTTGCTTTTGGCCTGCTGACAAAGTCACTCCACGCTCCCCTGGACGGGAAAAAGGAACGCTGAAATAAGAACACGCTCTTCAAGGTAACACCATACAGTGGGTTCCACTTTTCATTTCACAACATATCTTAACGTCATGAGAAACCTTCCTGGTAAAGAGGCCCAAAATTCCAAAATCATCAGGAAAAAGCTACCCATGTTATTCAGGTGAAAAAAAGTGGTGTGGTGTGTAGTTCCAGAGCTCATCAACCTGAAGATGCTGAATTCTATATTTTCATAAATGGCCCATTTAGAGCAAGGCCCAAGGATCTGGGTGCTAGTCTGACACTAACTGGCTAATTTTTCAAAAACAATCCTGCATGTTCTAAACAAAGCACAATCACATCTGTTTCGTATGGAGGCTACTGGGAGAACCAGAGTGCAAGACCTCCAGGAAAAAGTCGGGTAGGCAGGGAAGGAAGAATGGATGCCCCCCAAACCGCAAGATGCTGCTGCGTCAGAAATGAAACTCAGCATAAATGATGTTTCAGTGCCACAGGAAGCCAGCTTCAGCTCACCCACAGTAGTGTTGTAGCCATCGGGAAAACTGCGAATAAAACTGTCGGCATTCGCAAGACGGGCAGCAGCATAAATCTCCGCGTCAGATGCACACGGTTTGCCAAAGCGGATGTTCTCCATGATGGTTGTGCTGAACAGCACTGGCTCCTGACCGAAGACACGAGGTTTCAGAACTGGGTCAGAGGCCAACCCCGAGGAAGTCTGCCCACCACTGCCACCGCCTCCCCAGTAACACAGGGCTTCTTTCCTCTCCCAGGGACGGGGCTGGGCTCTTGCTGGCTTTGCCTAGCCCAGCCCAGCCCAGCCCAATTCCACAGAGATTCCAGGACAACCTTATGGGATCAGATTCATGTTAATGCAGCCAGTGCTGCATCACCAGGAAGCACCAACCTCCCATGTGATTCAGGCAGGCTCGCAGCAGCCACCCCCAGAACTCTATTCACAACACGCTGCTGCTGAGCACAGAGGCTTCATTTCTCACCACACAACCCTAGCTTTTAAGAAAAATGCATCTCCACTCTCATGGCGATCAGTTGCTACCAAGGACATCATACTTGTTCTTTCGTAACTTGCTGCTAATCCAAGTCCTGGTGCTTTGGAAGAAAGAAAAACTTCCTGTCTCCTAGTTATTTTTGTTTCTCTAATCCCTCCTCAGTCATCTTCTTTTCTACCCATTTCCATATGACATATCATGCTAAGCAGCAAGATAGTTGTTTCTAGGAGTGTGCAAACTGTTCCATGCATGACCAGCTCATTTTGGATAGCCAATATCTGAACCAAAATGTGTTTTGGATGGTCTGGTCAGCATACAGACTGAAATATGGTTGTTTCAAGAAAAAAATGGTTCAGGGGGCAGTAAGTGAAAAATAAGGATACTGGCATCAGTGACAGCAGCTGAGGGGAGCGGGGTGGAGGAAGGGCCCTGGGAAGACTGGGGTGTGGGCAAGACTGGTGGGGTACGCTGCCTTGGGACCTGCAAGGAGAAAACATGAGCAACACACACACACACACCGGTCTTGCCTTACTTGTCCCCTAAAACAAATCCAGGATTCCTCCAGATTTCATTTGGCTGAAACCAAGAAAACCAACATGTTCCAGGGTATGATCCTGGTTGACGTCAAATAATTTGACAGAATTTCTGGGTTGCGGTAGTTTTTTCCAAGTTCAAAATAAAACATTTTCTATTTTGTTCCCACCCCTATATGTTTCAGTTCTAGCTCACTGATATGTGAACACAACCATTATGATTGTGTTACATAGAAATCAGGCCACTGTGTTTTGTTCAAGAAACTCTGGTAAAAAATTCCTGCCTTTAGGTGTGAACCAGGCGAACTATTTTATTCCATTCTGGGCTTCACTGGTCGCATCTCTTCCCAATTCTGTACCTGGTTAATGAACCCAATGACTTCTCCCCGGAGCCAGGCAGTGTCAAGAGTGCGAATATCACGCCCATCCAGAAGGATGATACCCTTTGTAGGTTCATAGAACCGCTCCAGGAGAGCAGCCACGGTTGACTTCCCTGCACAGGAGAGACAACACGAAGGGGTCTGACACATTCCAAGCATTCACGTGCAGTGTCTAGCCATGAGCTGTCAGCTGACATCCAAGGGTAGGAGGAGGAAGGATCTCAGGAAGTTGGATCCATTCAGCAAATTGCTGCATATGCTGGTGGGAGTTTGCATTCATTGCACAGGGGAAATGCAACTATATGCTCAGCAAAGTCACAAGGGAATCAACACTGGGAAGGAAAGTAAATGCGGAGAGTGATAAAATGAAATCAGGAAAGGATCAAAGAAGGTATAGGAATAAACGGTCAGTAAGGCAGCACCACACAGGACTGATTAAAACACCAGTTTAAAAACGTTTAAAAAATGATGTTTGTTTTATCACCATTCCAAACCCAGACCTGGCCCCAGGCCAGGCTTGTACTCCAGCACAAAGGACCCAGGCCCTGCTGAGCAACTGCTGCCTCACTGCCGCTCAGGCAAAGGAGAGAGAGCCTTACCACCACCAGACTGTCCCACGATAGCCACCGTCTTGTTAGCAGGGATGTTGAGGGTGAAGTTTTCCAGCACCTTGTAGCCTGGCCGAGTGGGATAACTGGCAGCAGAAGAAAGAGATCAGGCCTTGGGGAGACTTCTGATGCCGGATTAGCCCAGATGAGGCTGCCTCGTGTCCCTGCTTATTGCTTAAGGGCAGCCATGTGAAGCGAATCACAGGTCAGCTTCATCGGGGAGGTGAAGGGGATGCTGGGGCGGTGGTGGCGGACGGAATGGGAGGAGGCAGAGCTAAATCGTATGGAGGGTGAGCATGGATGCTGTCGCGTGTATGTTCTGCCACTTCTCATAAAAGTGGCACCTACTGTCTGGCGAGTGTGTCGAGACTTTTTTTATTGTTTAAAGAATTATTAAGCCAACAACTTCTGTGGCCTTTAGAGAGAGGCCTCTGCATCTCTCTAAGCTCAACAATTTATTCTTCATTTGTTTATTTAGCAATTTGCATGCTGCCTCATTCACCAGAGTAGCTCCAGGCAGCTTGCATATTAGACATAAAATGACAGCATAAAAATAGGAAAACAACAAGAAGTAAACCAGATACATTCTTAGATGGCTCCACTCTAATTGATATTCTGCTTTCTCTGTGGGGCTTTGTGTGTGTGTGTGTGTGTGTGTATTTTTTTAATTTGTGATATCTTTAATGAGATAAAAATTGCTTGTTTTTATCTACTTATTTTATTTGCTTGTTGTGCGCTGCCCAGAGTTGCTTTGTGTGAGATGGGCAGCTCTATCAGTGGGAGGTATAAACAAACAAACAGACAGCAATAATAAATACAGCACCCCAAGGTGAGGGAATTCCATCGTGATCAAAGACCAAAATGCACTATCAGGGAGTCAGTCACTCCCCGCCCCTTTCCCCAGGCCTGCTGAAAGGGCCACAGTTTTGCAGAGTTTTTGCAAAAGCGCAGTGGGTTTAGGCCATATGGACCTCCATACTGCTCTGCGAAGACTGGGGAGAGAGGGTCCCCAGCCCCTCACTGATCGTGGTAACGCTCTTTCCTCTTCCTTATAAAACACAGAACAGTTTGCACAAAATAAAGCTGAAAATAAACCACTGAAAACTATGCAAGCCTGTGTAAGAGCTCCTGCGTGCCACTTTAGCCTAAAATATTTCCCCTGCCCACTTCTGACCTACCCCTACGACCCAGGAGCCTGTCTACCTTGAATCTCACCTGAAAGTGACATCCTGGAATTCGATGTGCCCACTCAACATACTGCAGGCAAGCTGCTCCCTCTCGCACAGAGGGGCGTCTGCCGACGGGTTCATGAATTCAAACACACGGGCCCCAGCACTCATCCCCCGTAGCACCTGCAGTTGTGAAGAGAAGGCCCCTAGCAACGAGCAGTCTTGTTCCCAGGCCCTCCTGGGAAACCCCAGTTCAAACGCCCCAAGACAGCTCATCCTCCCTGGCCACGTGCTCCAGAGCTAACAAACCCCTGAAGGGCATTTTACCTTGCACTTAGGTGTCCCAAGAATCCTCCCAGCCCACCTACCTGACCATACAGCACAGACATGCTGGCCATGGACCTAGAGAAATAGAAGCAGAAAGCTCTCAAGGGCCGGCTAGCAAGTCTGCCCTCAGCACAGGGCCTGGGGCTGGGGCAGGTCTTACCGCTGCACAGTCTGGGAGGAAACCAGGAAGGACATGAGGTCCCCGGGTGTCATCTCTTGCCCGGCCATGAGGGAGCCACCTACAAAGATGGTGCCTAGCACAATACCTGGGAGATAAAACAACATGGCTGAAGGGGGAAGCCGCAGAAAGAAAACGTGCTGGGTTAAAATGAGGTTGGTCATTTGTCACTCAGGATGTTGCGGGAACCCAGCTATTATTTCAACACAAACCAGGCTGTCATTGGGCTTATTGGCCTATTATGTGAACATCATAATTGTGCTTGTCAAGTGGGGGTTAGGATTTGGGGCAAACTCAGCCTTGGGGAGTGAAGAATTGGTAGTTTCATGCACTGCTTTGCAGCCATATGTCTTAATGTTAAGCTGAATTCCCCAGGAGCGAGGCAAGAGAAGGAAACTGGTAATTTGGCAGTGCTACCATAGCGTAGCAGTGAAGGACAGGAAGGCCTGGCGTGATATGGTTCATGGGGTCATGAAGAGTTGGACACGACTTAACGACTGAACAACACCACCACCATAGCGTCTAATGCACATTAAAGCCTGGCTTAAGTGGACCTTAAACATGAAGAGCAGAAAGGTGTGGGGAAAAGGGGGAAGGACCAGTGCCAGGGCCATTGTACAGAGCACATGGTTCCCAGCGAGGAATACATTTTTCTCAGAAGCCACGCAAAACAAAGTAATGCAGAGCCATCGGTCTCAATCTTCCCCAACCTCCAATTTCTTTCCAGTCACCCAAGAATTCAATCCCAACCCCTGGGCCTGGTTTGGAGAAAGCATTCACAAAGGCCCCGGGATTCCTGCCTCAACATGCCGCAGTATTAAATCATACAAAAAACCTTTGGCGGTTTCAAGGGAGGCTGTGCATGGAGCCTCCCTTGAAACCCCCAAAGATACTGTGCCAACCATCTCTTGGGCAGAACAAGAAGTGGGGAGGCCTCCACCAGCAGCCAATACAACGGAGCTTCTACTCACAATTCAGGGCCACATTGGAGAGCCCCTGGAAGAAGGCAATGCCCAGCCCCAAGTTCATATTGAGGCGGCTGGAAATATCAACTTCAGCTGAATATTCTCTGCAAGGGAGGAAGAAAGAAAAGGCAAAACCGACAGCTCTGCCAGGGCCATTGCACGGCCCACACAGCGCTTGTCACACATGGCACACAGGAGCTCTGCCCTGAAGGTCAGTCAAGCCAGTGGTATTTCTCACTGGCTAAAGTACACAATCTTAAGGGCACTCAACAGATTAAATCGATAAATAACCACATGAGACAGTGAAGCCTGGGTGGGGCCAAAGGGGAAGGACCACCAATGCAGCATTATGAGAGCTAATACGCACCCTTAACCCAACCGTATCTCTTCAGACTGAAACAGAAAACCACAAGCTGCTTTGCGCCCTTTGAAACAGCAAGGAGAGCCCCAACGTGCTGGGGACCCCTCTGGGTGGCTCTACATCAGAGACGTTTAGGAAGTGGGCTCCTACAAGCATTAAAGAGGAAAGGGCATTGAGAGTTCTCCTCTGTGGTACTCACTGGATCTCTTTGGGCTCCATGGCAAAGGCCCTCACCGTCCGGACATTACCCAGAGCCTCATCTGCCACAGCCGTGGCCTTGGCCACCTGCACACAAAAGGGGAAGAATGAACATCACTCGGGGGCTGGCTGAACAGAAGCAGAATTGGCTGCAGCCAGATACTCTGTGGTAAAAACTACAATAAAAATAGACGTGGTGTTTAACCAGAACAAAGCGAGAGTAGAAAAAAGCAAGAGCTGTCGAAAAAGAACACATGCGATCTCTTGGGCATTGGGAAGATGTTGGTAACCCAAAAAGGGCAGTCTGAGCTTACCCACCTAAGGACACCCCACTGCGTCATGCCACCCTTAAAAGAAAGGAAGAATACCAGTCAATCGAAGGCAGCTGAGTAATTCAGAACTGTAGGATAGATTTAACAGCTAAAGATGATACCAAATACAGCAGAACTTGACAAAGCAAAGAGTTCCGTGCTTCCCCAAACATGACTAGCAGAACCAAATAAAGGTTACTTCAGGGAACATTCACGCTCATTCAAACAGATTACAGACATCAGCCTACTCTTCCCTACCTGCTCTTGGGCCTTGCGGGACAGCCTGCGAAGGGAGGTGCCAATAAAGGTCCCGATCCCAATCAATATCGGCATCACCACAACAAGCAGCCCAGTCAGCTTGGGTGAAATCAAGTAAAGAGACACAAAACAGCCCACGGTCTGAGTGAGGCTGCGTAGACCCTGGAAGGTTGGGGGTGGGGAGAGGTGACAGCATGAAGAGAGACACACTGTTGGAGAGAGAAGTGAACCCCCCAGGCCTGTTTCAATTCACACCGTTCTTATGAAACAGCCTTAATCGGAACAAAATTGTTCTCCACTCAGCAAGCCACATCCCAGCCTTCTACAGCCATTAGCCAAACCTGAGAGATGACCAGTTTGAAAGAAGATTTGAATTCTTGGATGTCTGCAGTCAGGCGATTCACCAGCTGCCCCGTCTGATTGGCATCGAAGAATGCCACCTCTTGCCTTGGGAGAGGACCAGATGCAGCGTCACTTGTGGCTGATGCAGCCAGTCCTCCTTCTGCAGCTACTGCAGCGTTGCCAGGGCAGAAAAATGAAGGGCAGCTACCCCTAAGTCTGCAACCAAAGTATACTCGGCGGGGCGGGAGGGGGGCGGGGGGGTTGATGGCAGTCTACCTTAATTCAAATGCAAGTTGCTGAATTCATCAACTGAATATGACAACACAATGCAGCTGCCGTGTTCTCTGCTTTGGATAATTCAGGGTCTACCCCATCCCCTTCCCCTCCCCAACACACAGCCCAGGCTGGTCTTCCCTTGGATGACACCCGTTTCCTGGCCAATTACCTGAGAAAGGAGGAGAACAGCTGCTTCCGCATGCTGTTAGCCACCTTCTCCCCAATCCATGACAGCAGCAGGATATACCCAAAGGTCATTGCGCCCTGCAGGCAGAGGGGAAAGAGAGTTGTGCACTTCTATCCAGCCCCTGTCCCCAACTCCGCGTAGTGGGCACTGATGCACTCTAACCCCAGGCTCAGTTGCAGGGACCTGGAAAGGGTCTGCCCCACAACCAGTCAAGTAAGCGAAGAAGCCAACCTGCAGCCCATAGAGGCTCAGTAGGCGCAGGGCAGGTTCACGCACTAAGCGCAGGTAATCGCCCACACGCATGTGCTTTGCCACCACATTCACCATCTGGCCCAGTAACAATGGGATCTGTATGTTGAGCATCGCAGCACCGAAGGCAAACTGTAGTTCAGGAAAGAGAAAGACTGAAAAACAGCCGGATTTTTTAAACATCTTTCCTTCCCACCCCCCAGCCCTGGCTATGCTGGCCTGCCCACACACCCCCACCCCTGCTCTTAACCACTGGGAAAGACTCACCAAGACCGCTGCTGTCAGCGTCAGTAGTTGAGGGCGCAGGAACTTCCAGAACATGGCCCAGTCGAAGTCTGGCTCTTTGTCCACAGGTGGGGGGATACACACCACCTCAATCTTTTGGGCCTCCTGGCAGAAGACCCTCTTGCTGAAGCCAGCGCCCAGTCCCACCAAGGCTGGCCCTGCCCACAAGGCTGCCACCCGGCCCAGTGGGAGAAGACTGCGAGGCAAGACCAGTAGCACAGCTGGGGACAGCTTGGGCAGGCTGCGAGGAACCCGCAGAAAGCAGGAGAACCTGGCATGGCTGCCAGACTGCCTGTGAGGAGAGGGGAAATAGGATGTGAAGGCCAATTTGGCACAACTGGCCAATCACACTCATTAACTGTGAGAAAAAAATGGAACTATTTCAATCTAAAGAGAGGACGGCAAAAGCTGCTTTCAAGTGATGCCATTCTGCATCCCTGCCTACTCGCCCCCTGGTACCTAGGCATCCAACTCATCCAGTGATTCCTCCAAACCAAGCTTCCCACCCGTAATCCGAGGTTGGGCATGTAACAGATATGCAAAAGAAGAGAACTAATTCTGCTGAATGGTCAAAGCAGACTCCATGTTATTTTCAGGAGGCTAATATCCGAAGCCCAAATTTAGCTCAGTGTCATTTCTGTCTCACCTGAAAACAAGCACTATGGCATAGGATCACGCCAGTCTCACAGTTATTGGCTTTACGTATTATTGCTTAATCATGGTTTACTGAATAGGCCTCAGCGGCCTGGGTTCATAGTCTACAGTACTAATCTGAAGCCGACAAACTGCCTTCCCGCCACGCGCGACTCCTATCAACAGTTAAGGCGAGCAGCGCTGCAGTGTTCCAGGAAGGGCTTTGGAACTAGGTTCATGCAGAATTCCTCTTCAGACTTCCTTTCTTGGCACCCAAATCCCCCAAGTGGGAAAACAAACAGAGCACAAGCGTGACTCACCCCAGGCTTGCCAAAGATCTCTATCTGAGTGGCATCTGAGGTGCTTGCTTTTCTCGTCTAGCTAAAATCTGTGAGGCACTTTGTACTTTGGCATAAACACATAACGCACAACGCTTTCTACGACTAGGAAAGTAAACAAAACGAGGTTGCTCGGGGTGCGAGGGTGATGCAGTGAAACTTAAGACTTCCCAGCTGCTCGCTCCGCCGTTCCTCCGCCTGGTCCGAGACACTGCCCAACTGCCTGCAGAGTTCGCCCTGCCGCCCCGAACTCCGGGGCAGGGAGGCCAACGCTGGCTTCTCGAGGGTCTCCAACCCGGAGCCGGGCAGCTGTGCGAGATTAGAGGAAA